ACATGGTTTGAAAATGAAGATGGCAATTTATTAATCAAAATGTCACTTGACCAGGAGCCAGTTGCTGATCAACAAGCACAGTGGTGAAAGGGGGAACTGGACCTGCTGCAAGTAAAGCCATGGGTAACAGAATTTTGGATGGCCTCAAGTTTAGAAGTTTAGAGCAGGTAGAATGTGGAGGACTAGATAGAAGTGCACTGGAGTAGTTGACTATTAAAGGTAATAAAAGGCATTAATTGAGTGTGAAAAACAGAACAAATCTAACCTGGTCGATTACCACCTTATCAGTCCACTATTAATCATTAGCTAAGTGATAGAAGGGGGTTAGTGATTTTGTTATCAAACAGCATTTAGCAGCAATCTGTTTGCCGATGTTCAGTTTAGATTCTTTAAGGAATATCTAGCTCCTGATCTCATTTTCATAAAAGTATGAACAAAAAGAGCTGAATTCCAGGGACGAGGTCAGAGTGACCACCTTTGACATCAAGACTGTATTTGAACAAGTAGTAAGTTAAGGAGTCCTAGCAACACTTATGTCAAAAGTAGTGCTCCATTTGTTGACGTTATAACTAGTTCAAGAAAGATGGCTGTGGTAGTTTGAGGATGTCTTTTTTAAAAAAAAATGTTCAAGGAATATGGGCATCACTGGCTGAGCTTCTGTGGCCCAGACAGCAGTCAAGAATTAATCACATTGCTGTCAGTCTAGAATCACACAGACTAGATCAGCAGATTTACTTTCCCAAACAACAGCAACAAACCAGACGAGTTTTTATAACAATCAAGAGTTGTTACATGGTCATCATTAGATTAGCTTTCTAGTTAATTTCAAATTTCACCATCTATCATGGTAGGATTCAGATCCATGCCCTGGAAGTGTAGCCTGGGATTCTGGTTCAGTAGTCCTGCCCTGATTTCAGTCCTGGGGCATTACCGCAAGAGTTTCTCAGGAGCGTGTTCTAGATCCAACCATCTTCAGCAGTTCCGTCAATGAACTTACTTCAATCATCAGGTCAGAAGTAGGCATGATTGACAATCTTTGCACAATGTTCAGCACCATCTGTAACTCCTCAGATACTGAATCTATCCATTTCCGTATACAATGACACGCAGTCAACAATGGTCTGATAAGTGGCAAGTAACATTTGTGCTGCACAAATACCAAACAAAATATTTGCAACTAAAGAGAATTAACCCATTTCCCTTTGATATTCATTGGTATTACCATCACTGAATCCATTAGAATCAACATCCCAGGTAAAATAACTCTTCAGGGGCTGGTATCTCATCACCAATCACCCTCTATTTTGCAAAGGTATAGCATTTGCCTATAACACTGCCTAACATTTAAAATCAATTCTTATTGTATGTTAATTATGAAATTAGATATTTGCAATAGAATGCTGTATTAAATATACTCAGAGTTTATGCAAAACACTGCATCGCCATTTTACCGCAGATTTTGGACTACACATTCTGAAAGCCAATCCTTTGATGAAAGCGATGGCGTGCATCATGCAATGGCTAGTTCCTTTGGGAAGAAATTCCATTGTTGTCTGCAGTGTAAACAGAACAGTGAGTTTCCCTGGAAACAGATGTTAACTCTGCTGCGAAATAAAATGATTCAGTCACCACTAATTTTGGGAGAATTAGATGAAAGTCAAAGGCTTATTGCACAAAGCCACTGAAAGAATTCATTTCAAAAGTTCATTAACATTCTTTGTGTTTCCTTTAGGAAGTCTTCTCTGCAGTATTATGTTCCAGAAAGTCATGCTCAGAATTTGCTTTCTTTTTAATTTGCCTTAGTAAATGCCTTACTTGTAGTGCAGTCCTAAAATGGAGCCTTAACATTAGAAGTGTGAACACAGCACAGAAATGTCTACATCGAATTACATTTAAAAGGAAACTGCCAACTTATACTTCAAAACAGCTTTTAACCATAAACTTGAGAGCACCCCAAACACACACAACCTTTTCTCTGAATCATTTATTTCACGCTTTATGAATGCACAAAAATATGTTGATATCCATACATTCAAACACACATGCAATATATAATAGCCTAAAAATTCCTGCAAGTTGTAAGTTGCGAATAGTTTCACTTGGTTTTGTCCTTTTAATCTCTGTAATATTTTTCATGTACAAAATTTATAAGATTGGTAGGGTTCATCAACACTTGTGCTGTGAATAAATGGAATTCAGTGAACACTGTAGGTCAACTCCATTCAAGTTCTACAATAGTTTCAGAGACAGCAGGAACTGCAGATGCTGGAGAATCTGAGATAACAAGGTGTAGAGCTGGATGAACACAGCAGGCCAAGCAGACCCTGAAGAAGGGTCTAGGCCCGAAACGTCAGCCTTCCTGCTCCTCTGATGCTGCTTGGCCTGCTGTGTTCATCCAGCTCTACACCTTGTTATGTCAAGTTCTATAATACAATGGTTTTGGAGTAGTTAGTGAGGAGATCTTTCCCATTCAGCAAAATACCAAATTCCTTGACAGTTTTTCAAGGGGACACATCTAATATATTTGATAACAACTGTCTTCAAAAAAAAACCAAACTGATTATTTTTCTCCTCCTGATTGTGAAACCGGCACATTGTAGCAATTATCAGTAAATAAGGCTGACAATATCTAACAAGTAATTCATTGATTGTTGAACGTGATGATTTTGGTATCATGTTGTAAATGCTCTTCCCTCTCCCTAATTCTACTCCTGCCAGTTTTCAGATGTCTCAATATAAACGTAAAACTTTTGTTTTACTGCTGTCTAGACTTTCTTAATGACCTGGAACTCCCACTGAAGCTGAAAATTCAGACAGACATGTTATTGTGCTGGGTCTTTAAATTGGATACTCATGTTATGCTTGTGATTAGAGCTGTTTTATTGGAAATACAAATATAGACAACATTATATGTCAATTTTACAGCTAACTTGCAAGAAATAAATTACAAATGGGTACAACAGGATCCAAACTAAATGTTTATCACAATGGTCTACTCCAGGGAAATGGCGGTTTCAAAATAAAAGCCATTCACTTGTTAGATTTTGACAGCTGTGATCATAGTATGTAATGTAGGCAGTCAAACATTTATAGGCAATTTTCAGACAGTTTATTGGGTTGTTAATAAGCAGCAGTTTAGATATGATGCATTTATTTAATTAGATAAAGAAATACATGATCTGAGGCAGATGAGAGTGCTTTATTGATCTCAAAGCAGTTATGTAGAATGATGGAGCAGAGGTGGCAGTTCCCAGTGGTTTTGAAGTGATGAAGTATTTATCCCTGATATTTCTTTGATTGTTACAGTCTTTGTTCTTCCCTTGACCTGGTGGGTAACTCCTGATCTTCTCAGAAGGTGTTACCATATTCCTTGGGATCCTCTCTCTCTCTCTCTCTCTTCCGCTGCCCACCACCCCACCCCCACTCACTTCCTACCTACATTGTTAATATAGATATTTTCTATCAACCTGTCCAGAGATGGCATTACACACCTGGGGCAGATGGAACTTGAACCTGAGCCTCCTGCATCAGAGGCAGGGACAATACCATTGTGCCAGAAGAGCCCTTTTCCCCCATTAATCTGTCTTATTTTGTAGGTTGGCAAACCATGCTGTGTCAATCAACTGTTTGCACCCTTTTGACCAATCACCACAGGCAACTACTCATGATGTTACATCAACAGTGTCCCCTTGCCCACCTTCATCTCACTCTTTGTAAGAACAAAAGCTTCTTATTTTCCCCAACAATACATTGATAATAGGACAAACCACTGACACTGGTTTGATGGGATATTGTGACCTCAGTGATTCTTATGACCTGTCCTTTTTGTTTCCAAGATGCTGGAAATTTGGAAGCTGGTTACTGCTGTAACAACATTTCAAGGAAATCTCTTGTTATGCAGTAAGTACCAGAGGGAAAATAAAATAGTCAGTTGCAAAGGAACTCCAACTTTCAACATTGAGGTCTTATCATTGAGACTCTTTCATTCACAAACATAAAAGTGTGTATTAGCCTCTGCTGAGTCATTCATCAGGCATAAAAAATATTGGAAGACAATTAAATCAACTCTCCAGAAAGCTATCTGTGGCACAGTATACATATGGACAGCTCATATGTCCCTCTGAAATAGCAGTGAGTTTGAGATGAGTATTTAAAGCAGTTCCACTGAGCCATTCCATGGTATACGTAAAGAGGTAAACACGTGAAGCCATGCTGCTCCATTGAGTTGCACCTACATTTCAGGAATCTGGACACATACTGCTCACAATCCCTATCTGTGCTAGGGATTTGGAGAGTAGCTATTCCCTGCTGTGCTCCAGGTGGAGGAGGCTTGAAGTTAGAAATGTAATTTTCACCTTCCAATATTGACATTTAAAAAAAAAAGTTCTAAAACAAAAGTTGAAATAAAATTTCTGTTTATTTTTTCCAACATCGAATTAATCTAGCAGGTATATCTCACAACACCCCATCTTATAACTACAGTGACGTATGTGAACACAAAATAACACAGTAAACTGCACAAACAATACTAAAATCTCATCTTTAAAAACATAAACAGTTGTTTTTGTCCCCCTTAGCTTAACAGAGCACAGTATTTTACAGTTGTAGTGAACATTTACATATATAATATGACTGAGTTCAATTGAACCTATTCATTCTGATCATATCAAGTTTCCATTATGTCCTTCCTAATCTCTCAGCCACATTCAGTAGATGACCCCTGGCATACATGGGGACCTTCGCCTTACTTTTCAAGTAGATTTTAACCCAGAAAACTACCCACTCTTTACATAAGTGCATGTTAATCTGCAATTGCGTTTCACTGCAATTTTCATTCATTCTGTGGTTTTGAAGTTCTGCTCATGCATGGCATAGCTCATATTTTCATTGCTTTTGGGCAAGAACATTATTAATTGCAGCTTACTCCAAGCGGTGAGTCTTGGTTTTGTTCCTGCTAGTATCAAGGGCACATGTGGTTAGTCCTCTTGTGCTTCTGAAGCTCAGACATCTGTGTGCTGTGAGCTAAATGATGTGAAGCTGCTTCGCTGATTTCTGGCTCTCTGAGTGAAGCTGGATGCTCGGCTCTTCTGTACTTCAGTCTTCAGATTTTGCTTCTGCCTGTCTTGCACTGGAAAGCTCTCAATCAGATTAACCTTCTCCTGTTCTTCCTTCAGCAGCACATCTACGAACAGTGTTTTCTCCTTTTTCATTCGTATGCTGATATCCTTGGGAACGTCAGATATCAGCCAAACAAGTACCTCACTTAAGACCATCACCAGGTTCTGAAATTCAATGAATGAAACACAGAATGATGGCAAGATTCATCTGTGATACTTAGACAGTTCCTGAGTTATCGGAGAGGCTGGATAGACTGGGACTCTTTTTCACTGCAAGGTAGAAGGTTGAGGAATGACCTTAAAGAGGTTTTTAAAATCATGAGGGGTACAGATAAGGTGATTAGCAGCTGTCTTTTCCCTATGGTGGCAGATTTCAAGGCAAGGGGGCATATTTTTAAAGGTGAGAGGAGAAAGATTTGAAAAGGATGTGGGGCAACTCTTTTACACAGACAGTGGTTTGTGTGTGGAATGAACTTCCAGATAAAGTGGTGGATACGGGTATATTTACTATGCTTAAAAGACGTTTTGAAAAGTACATGAATAAAAACAGTTTGGAAGGATATGGGCCAAGCGCAGTCAGGTGGGACTAGTTTAGTTTGAGATTATGGTCGACATGGACTGGTTGGACCGGAGGGTCTATTTCTGTGAAGTAGGAATCTGTGACTCTGTGTTGATTGTACAAGGCTTCAAATGGAGAGAGGAGGGAGGAAAAAGTTTAGTTTTCACTTGCACAAAGCTGTAAATTACTACAGGCAGAATATTAAACAATGATATACTATAGAAAGGAATTATGCCGCACACAATCCAACCCTGTCCATTTTCTGTGTCAAGGTGTGAAAGGATTCACTTAATTTTCAATAGGTTTCAGTTTGGGTTCCTTTCCTGCTGACTACCAGATGAAATAGGACTGTCTCTAGGAAGAGGTTTAGTTTGACCTCCATTCCCCCTATCCAGAACAGCTGGTACACATTATGATTAAAGGAGAGATTTCATAACACACCCATGTTGTAAAGACCCACATTCGTAATAACTTTCATTTCTATTTGTTTGTGGCGGCACTTTTCACCAAGACATCTTTGGACCTGACCATATATTTCATAACTTTGATTTTGCAGGATTAAGAAGCATTGCATAACCAGATCCACACCTACCCCTGATGTCTGATCTCATCGTTTCATTTCTTTTCTTTCCTCCAAATCGACCTCAAAGGTATCCAGGCAGGTTACAATTTCTTGCTTCTCAGCACTTGAATGTTGTCTTACCTTCTGCAGCACCTCTGACTGCTGCGGACATGCTTTCGCTGTCACTGTTTTTCCTTACAATTACTGAACACATCTAAAATGGACTGTTCTTAAAACTAGAGACAAAAACAGAAGCTGCTGGAAAAGCTCAGCAGGTCTGGCAGCATTTGTGAAGAAAAAATCAGAGTCAACGTTTTGGGTCCGGTGACCCTTCCTCAAAACAGAGGAAGGGTCACTGGACCTGAAACGTTAACTCTAATTTTTTTCTTAACAGATGCTGCCAGACCTGTTGAGCTTTTCCAGCAACTTCTGTTTTTGTTCCTGTTTTACAGCATCCACAGTTCTTTCAGTGTTTGTTCTTAAAACTACTTGTTTGTTGGCAAATTTAACAACTCGTCACAAGTAAGGGATAGATTGTGAGGTTGAACCAAGGTGAATAAAAATACAAAAATTGAATAGATGATAGCTCATTTCTTAATTTCCAACAGTCAGAAGTTGCTAGTTAGCCAGATATCAACGTCAATGTTGCCTACCCAGGATTTATCCAATAGCACATAACCAATGGACAATTTTAGACAGCACAGTGGCTCAGTGGTTAGCACTGCTGCCTCACAATGCTAAGGTACCTGGGTTCAATTCCATCCTTGGGTGACTACCTGTGTGGAGTTTCCATGTTCTCCTTGTGTCTGTGTGGGTTTCTGCTGGGTATTCTAGTTTCCTCCCACAATCTAAAGATGTGCAGATTAGCCATGCTAAATTGCCCATAGTGTACAGTGATGTGCAGGCTAGGTGGATTAGCTATGGGAAATGGAGGGTGTGTGGGTCTTTGGAGGGGTGGTATGGACTTGATGAGCCAAATGGCCTGCTTCCACACTGTAGGGATTCTATTGTTTAAAAAAAAACCCTCTTGTTTTTATTTCCAATCTCCTGACCTCCTATTTCACTTGTGGAAAGCCTTTGCTGGGTATATTTGATTGCTTCATTTGCTAATTCCTCCAGCCATTGGTTCATGCTCCTTCTCGTAGATTATCCAGCAGCATGTTTCAAACATTATGAAAGACCAGATCAGTAACAATGGGCCTGCTCAGACTCCCCCCTCATTCACTAATCTGTCCAAGGAAGCATAATGGGATGTTGTGTTCACAAAATAAAGGCAACAGCAGTTTGAAAATTAGAAGCTTTTAGTGAACTTTTTTGCAAAAAGGAAAAGAATTCTGAATGACCTCCAGGTGTTGGTATAAAGATTGTCAGCCTGAGCAGTCTTCCCAGAACATCCACTGACATCCCCACCCTGTGAAATATTCAATCGTATTTTTTTAACATTGTAGCTCTAGCTATTTAGGCAGGTGTAAATAAATGATTGTGAGGAGAAAAGAGTATATGAACAGACCTCCTACCCTCCCTCGACCTCTTCATCTCCAACTGCCGTCGAGACATCAATCGCCTCAACCTCTCCACCCCTCTCACCCACTCCAACCTCTCCCCCGCAGAACGTGCAGCCCTCCGCTCCCTCCGCTCCAATCCCAACCTCACCATAAAACCCGCGGACAAGGGAGGTGCAGTTGTAGTATGGCGCACTGACCTCTACATCGCCGAGGCCGGACGCCAACTCTCCGACACCTCCTCCTACTGCCCCCTTGATCATGACCCCACCCCTGAGCACCAAACCATCATCTCGCAAACCATCCACAACCTCATCACCTCAGGTGACCTCCCACCCACGGCCTCCAACCTCATCGTTCCCCAACCTCGCACTGCCCGCTTCTATCTCCTTCCCAAAATCCACAAACCTGAATGCCCTGGTCGACCCATTGTCTCCGCCTGCTCCTGCCCCACCGAACTGATCTCCAACTATCTCGACTCCATTTTCTCCCCCTTGGTCCAGGAACTCCCTACCTATGTCCGTGACACCACCCACGCCCTCCACCTCCTCCAGAACTTCCAATTCCCCGGTCCCCAACACCTCATCTTTACCATGGACGTCCAGTCCCTCTACACCTGCATTCCCCATGCAGATGGCCTTAAGGCCCTCCGCTTCTTCCTGTCCCGCAGGCCCGACCAGTCCCCCTCCACTGACACCCTCATCCGCTTAGCCGAACTCGTCCTCACACTCAACAACTTCTCTTTCAATTCCTCCCACTTCCTACAGACAAAGGGGGTAGCCATGGGTACCCGCATGGGCCCAAGCTACGCCTGCCTCTTTGTAGGTTACGTGGAACAATCCCTCTTCCGTACCTACA